GCCATGGGGCGGCCCACATAGCCCTTCTGCCATTTTGGACCTAGCAGGCCTCCCTGAAGTCTCCTGGGACTAGAAACGGGCCATGGGGCGGCCCACATAGCCCTTCTGCCATTTTGGACCTAGCAGGCCTCCCTGAAGTCTCCTGGGACTAGAAACGGGCCATGGGGCGGCCCACATAGCCCTTCTGCCATTTTGGACCTAGCAGGCCTCCCTGAAGTCTCCTGGGACCAGAAACGGGCCATGGGGCGGCCCACATTCCCCTTGTTCCATTTTGGGCCTAGCAGGCCTCCCTGAAGCCTCCTGGGACCAAAAACGGGCCATGGGGCGGCCCACACACCCCTTGCGCCATTTTGGGCCTAGCAGGCCTCCCTAAAGTCTCCTGGGACAAAAAATGTGCCATGGGGTGGCCCACACACCCCTTGTTCCATTTTGGGCCTAGCAGGCCTCCCTGAAGCCTCCTGGGACCAAAAACGGGCCATGGGGCGGCCCATACACCCCTTGCGCCATTTTGGGCCTAGCAGGCCTCCCTGAAGCCTCCTGGGACCAAAAACGGGCCATGGGGCGACCCACACACCCCTTGTGCCATTTTAGGCCTAGCAGGCTTCCCTTGAATCCTCCTGGGACAAAAAACGGGCCATGGCACGGCCCACACACCCCTTGCCCCATTTTGGGCCTAGCAGGCCTCCCTGAAGCCTCCTGGGACCAAAAACGGGCCATGGGGCGACCCACACACCCCTTGTGCCATTTTGGGCCTAGCAGGCTTCCCTGAATCCTCCTGGGACAAAAAATGTGCCGTGGGGTGGCCCACACACCCCTTGTTCCATTTTGGGCCTAGCAGTGCTCCCTGAAGCCTCCTGGGACCAAAAACAATCCACGCATGTGTCTTGTTCATGTTCGGCAGAGAGCCAAAAATCAGCTGGCTGGCGGGAGGCGCGCGATGGAGCTGAGCTGGGGCAACGGCTCACATGCCCGCAGAGAGGGCTCCAAGTGCACCGGGATCCGGAACCCACCTCTGAAATACAGATTCTTCAGATAATGTATATAACTCAAATTAGATGTCACTGGATTCAATGGAGCTTATTCCCAAATAATTACTTAGAGAATGCCAACTTCAGAGTTTATCCAGCAAGTATTAAATAAAAAGATAGCAACATTAACCTACCATTCCAAGATAAGATAGCACAGAAATCTGGTATCAGAGAATTTCAGTATCAGGTGGCAGAAAGTCAAAATTCTTAAAGCCCACTTAGTTCTATTTTATTGCTTTTGTAAGGACTTACTTCATATATTTTATTGCTTTTGTAAGTAGTCCTTAAGTCCTTTTTTTGAATAGGGAGGGAGGAAGGAAGACAGAGAGGAAGAGAGGGAGTTTGATCTGGTGCAACAATGGCTAACCTTTTTGTCGTTGCCAGCTGAAAGCCCGTGCATGGCAGTGCAATAGCGTACCCACATCCATAATGGTTACCCCTGTGGCCGGTTTTGGGCTTGGAAGGTCTCCTGCACCAACCTGGAAGCCAAAATGGGGCCTGGGGACACTGCAAGAGGCCCCAAAATGCAACATGAGCGCCCCCGCACATGCGTGGCAGAGATCTGAATACCAGCTCCCCGGCGGGAGACATACGTGCCTGCGCAGTGCATCTTGGCTGGGACAATGGCTGGTGTGCCCACAGAGAGGACTATGTGTGCCAGCTGTGGCACGCATGCCATTGGTTCACCATTTAGTGGTTTAAGCCAGAAAAAAGGAGACCATGAATTCTAGTGCCACCTTAGGCATGAAAGCCAGCTGGGTGAACTTGGGCAAATGCGTACTTACTGCTTGCGACGCTCCATGATACTCTGTGACACCTCCGCAACGCTCCAGCTGCTCGGCGGAGCATTGCGCAGGCGCCATACGCTCCGTTCACAGAAGCCCCGAAGAGCTCAAATACCAGTAAGGAGCGCAGGTGGGCGGGTGGGCCCTCCAGAGTACTGTACTAAAACGGTATTCGGTGCTCCCGGCAGGCACCAATATGCCTGTACCGGGGTGTACCAATCATAACCCACCACTGTAGCTGGGGAATTCTTACGAATACTGTAAAAATTATCATATTGAGGAGGGTTCAAGTTGGAAATGGTTGACCTGGCATCTCTACTTCAGAAGAACCTCAAGATCAAAGGAAGAGTAAAATTCATGTTTTTGGTAACTCGCTTCCAGTCCGAATAGGCAATATTGGAGGATAACAACCAGAGGTGGTATTCAGCTGGTTCGGAGTGGTTTGGGGAACCGGTAGCGGAGCCCTGCGGGTGGGCCTGCCCACACGCCCTTTTTTTTTTTTTTTTTTTCTCAAAGATTCTTTTATTACATTTTCATTTTCCTTTATACAATCACTTAAATACTGTGCAGTTAAAAAAAAAGAAGCAATAAACAACTCATAACACTTCTATCCCCCGCCCTCCACCTCCACCTCACTTAGGTGATTTATCTTGCAATAATAAAATAGTGGNTATATATATATATATATATAAATTGCAAAGAGTACTAGGCAAAATGAACATGAATTTCAAGCGAAGTTTTGTTTCTCCATTGCAGTTGGGCAGAATGTGAAATCAGGAATTCTTTGTCAAGGAAATAAATGTTGGGAGTTAACACACTTAAGAATAACCCAACATAGTCACTAAGCCACTCGCATGAGCAATGACGGCAATCCTTGACTGGAAGTTGAGTGGCAAGAGGTTGGTGGCTCCTCTCTCTTTCTCCTGGGCTAAAGGTGACCCGGGCTTCTGGGGAAACGGGGGACCAAAGCGGACCAGAGGGCCTTCCTTTCCACCCCTCACCTTAGGTGGGGCATAGTCAAACCTTTCAAAACCTGAACCTTGAAAAGGGGATCTCAGAAAAAAATTCGGAAGGGGCCAAAGCGATCTTCAAATCAACACACTTTATGCATTTATTTCATTGGCAGATCTTGTGCTCTTTATTGGCTATTGAGAAGAGAAGAAGATTCGGTTGCACTGATTGTTGTATTTGCTTATCAAAGCTACACCAGTCAATCATTCAGGAAAAAACTTGTAAAAGGGCAAGAGGGAGAATCGAGTCAAGCATAATCAGATTTGGTTATTGGTACCCTCATTTTGGTTTTCCTATGTTTCCCATAGGAAAACAATTGAATTTGATTCTTTTATAAGCAGGCTTTTCTTGGAGGTGCTGGGCAGGTTGCAAGGAACCGCAAACCTCAGGTGAGGAGGGGGCACCTAGCTAGAGGCCAAAGCAAAAGATTTGGTGCTGCCCCGAGACTCTGACAGGAAGGCTTCGATTTCCTCCACCGTACGAGGGACACAAGTCATCAGTTCCATCCCACTGGCTGTCACCACAATGTCGTCCTCAATCCGTACCTGGGAAAAGACAGAGACACACCTGATCAGGTGCAGTGACAGGCAAAATGGCGCAACTCCCTTTTAACCTGGCTTAGTTAAGGCTAGGCAACCGTTTACCGAGATCAAAACCATTCTCTTCCTAATGTTTCCTTCCCACCTCATAGCCAGTGGAACAACTGGCCACCAGGAATCGTGGGCGCTCCATCACAAGGCTTTTAAGAAGAGACTGGCCTGTCACTTGTCTGAAATGGTGGAAGGTCTCCTGCTTGAGCAGGGGGCTGGACTAAAAGACCTCCAAGATTTTATTCCCATTCCCTATTGTTCTGTTCTGTTCTGAAAACCTAGGTTCTCCATACCCTTCACTTTCGGGTAGACTGGGGGGGTGGGGGGAGACAAGTTCTTCATCACCAGTACAAGTCCTCTTCAACTTACAACATTTCATTTAGCGACCATTCAAAGTTACGACAGCACTGAAAAAAGTGATTTATGACCATTTTTCATTCTTACAACTGTCGCAGCATTTCCACCATCACGTGATCAAAATTCAGACCCTTGGCAAATGACTCACATTTATGACGGTTGCAGGGTCCCAGGGGCGGGGCCATGTAAATTAGCTTTTGCGAACTTTTGACAAGCAAAGTCAAATGCGAAAACCAGATTCAGTTAACAACTGCGGAAGGAAAGGTTGTAAAATGGAGCCAAATTCACTTAGCAAATGTCTCGCTTAGCAACATAAATTTGGGGCTCCATTGGGGTCGTAAGCCGAGGACTGCCTGCAACGATAGCAGAGATGAAAACAGCCAACCTGCGGACTTCTCTTCATGCACCTGCTATTTCAGGGTCCTGCTTCAGATGGGAGGAGCATGTGGCACATGGGCATGAACAGAGTTCCTAACCAGCTCAAAGCAAGAAGTGATCGCATCCTCCTTTTATGAAGCCCTGCTCCATCTGGGATTGTCTCACGTGCTTGTTGTTCAGTATTTTGTTACCCCTTTCGCCCAGTGATGAAATTCAATTTTTTTTTACTACTGGTTCTGTGGGCATGGCTTGTTGGTGGTGTCCTATGACTGAGTGGGTGTGGCCAACTCACTGTCAATCATGACCATGCCCACTCAGTCACATCCCCCCAAACCACGCCCACAGAAAAAATGTGTATGAGTCCATTCGGAGCTGCTGCTCCCTTTATGGTCTCTGCTGCATTTAACGTTGAATTCTGTGGCAGAAATAATCCGAACGTTTTTCCCTCTGTTCACAGCAGGGCTGCTGCTCCCTTTATAGTCCCCCTTGGCCCCCTCCCTCCCTGGGTCTACCTTAAAGGGACAGGCTGCAGCAGCTCTGCTGTGATCGGAGGGAGAAACGTTTGGATAGTCTCTGCTGCATTTAACGTTGAATTCTGTGGCAGAAATAATCCGAACGTTTTTCCCTCTGTTCACAGCAGGGCTGCTGCTCCCTTTATAGTCCCCCTTGGCCCCCTCCCTCCCTGGGTCTACCTTAAAGGGACAGGCTGCAGCAGCTCTGCTGTGATCGGAGGGAGAAACGTTTGGATTGGGTGGGTGAGTGGGTCGAGCGGCCAGAAGAGGTGAGTGGCAACAGGATGAGCAGGCAGGCGTGGGCGAACTGATGCCAATCGTCCCTGCCAGTTTGGCCGAACCGGGAGGATTTCACCTCTGTCCCCCACCCCCAAATTAATCTGACCCACAAAGATAGACAACATAAATATAACCAACAGAAATTATGTGCTCAGCATTGAAAATATGCTGCCTGCATAACAGATTAACAGAGTCGGAAGGGGCCTTGTAGGTCATCTAGTCCAACCCTCCAGCCCAAGCAGGGGACTCTACACTATTTCTGACAGAGGGCAGTCCAGTCTCCTCTTGAAAGCTTCCAGGGATGAAGCTCCCACAACTTCCGAAGGCAACTTCAGTTCCATGGGTCGATTGTTCTCACTGTCAGAAAATTCCTCCTTATTTCCAGGTTGAATCTCTCCTTGATCAATTTCCATCCATTATTCCTTGTCTGGCCTTCGGGTGCCTTGGAGAATAGCTTGATCCCCTCCTCTCTGTGGCATAAAATGTTATCAGCTCCAGTTGGATCAACCGCCTCAAATAAAGATCCAACGTAAGAAGGACTTTGGGACTGCAGCATAAATAGGTTTCTCCTTCCCATTCTCTACTTGTGAAGCTCTTTTCACCCCTTTGCCTTTTAAAAAGGCGCAATGGGACGGGATGCTTTGTAGCTGATACTGTTACTAAGATCTTTGGAAACCTTTCCTGTTCTCATTGGGTTTGAATGAAAAGGACAGCCCGTTTTGCACCCAGTCTCTGCGCCCAGTGCTAATCTCTCCTGGTTAAATATGCAGACTCCGTCATTATCCCTTATCTTATCAGAAATGTGCTAGTAAGTCTCTAAGCTGCAATAAAGGCAATTTTATCCAAGAGTCAAAGCCAAAGGAACACAAACCCTGCTGATTCCCACTATACACTGCCTGTAATTGTTTCTGACCTCTTAACATTTTGATCTAAAAATAATGCTAGTTTAACATTTGTCCTGCTTGCAAAATAATCCATTTATTCAAACAAAGCCGGTCTTTGAGTCTTATTAAAGTGCTCAGTGAAGCTGACTGTCAAATTATCTTCATTATTTAAGATTAATTTAAGTGTTATTATGGACCAGAATTAAATAAGCTTGGCAGAATTTGTTCAGCAGGCAGCTGACAGCTGTTCAGTCTAAATCTACAAGTTCTCACTCTTCACTATCCAGGAAACACAGCTGCTCTCCTTTCATTGACAAAAAGAGGCCTTCGACCTGGACAAAACGTTGAAAAGGTTGACTCAGCCTTCCGTCCTTCCGATGTGGGTAAAATGAGGACCCAGATTGTTGGGGGCAAATAGATTGACTCTGTAAACCACTTAGAGAGGGCTGGAAAGCACTGTGAAGCGGTATATAAGTCTAAGTGCTGTTGCTATTTTCCTTCCTTCCTTCCTTCCTTCCTTCCTTCCTTCCTTCCTTCCTTCCTTCCTTCCTTCCTTC